TCATATTATTTTATACTATTTAATATTATTTTATATTATTTTATACCATTTTATATTATTGTATATTATTTTATATGATTTTAAATCATTTTACATTGTTTTATATTACTTTATATTATTTTACTTATGTGAATAACATTCAATTCATTTTATTCTATTAACTTGTCCCATAAATTGTATAATAATTTTATAAACTACATAAAAAAAAAAAATATTACAATATGTATGCAAAAGTTTTAGAAAAAAAGAAAGAAACTTTTAGGACAATCAAAAATTAATAATAATAATAATAATAATAATAATAATATTATACTATAAATTAATAAATCAAATTATAATCAATTACAATAATATTTTTATAATACATATACCAACAATTATTTCACAAAATCGTTTAAATATTTTCCTATACAATTTTAAATATTCTAACTATTACCATTTTCTACAAATATATTTTATCTTCAATTGATTTTCAGATTAAAAAAGAATAATATTACATAATCACAATATTAATCATCACGTACGTCTTTCCACGTAACAATTCAATATATTTATACACTATATATATATATACGTATAAATAAATACATAGATTAAACTGTTATAAAAAAAAAAGAAAAATAATAATTCCTTGTTTTTACATTAAACGTTCGAGTGGACGCGTTTAAAACTTACTTACAGTTCATTTCAATATTTTTCTTTTTTTTTTTTTGTGTGCCGTCACTCGTGCAATTTATATTTCCTCGATTGGATGAGTTCTTGTTCATTCATTTCTTTTTTTTTTTTTTTTATTGTATAACTTTTCCAAAGATGAAGGAAAATGAAAATAAAAAGAAAGAAAAAGAAACGGAATGTGTATCACGATTTTCCATGTTGTTTTCACAATAGATAGAAAAGAAAACGATTCATTGATGATTATGATGACGATGACGACAATGATGACGATAGATTATGATGACTAAGAAATCGATGAGTGGTGTCCTTGCTTTGAAGTGCACTTTGCTTCTTGCGCAAGATTTTCCTCTTGTATGTTAAAAAAAGATACGTTCAATGATTATCTCATCTATTGAGATAATATCATCTTTTATATCTGTTTTTTTTTAATCTTTTTTTTTATATCTATCATTCATTATTTATTTATTTATTTATTTCTTTTTTATTCTCATTTCGTATTCATATCAACGTTTTTCTAATGCAAATTACTCAAAACTTACTGTAAATACACTTGTTCTTTCTTTGTTATTAGTTATTTTTATTTTTATTTTATTTGTTTTTATATTCTCTTTTCAAAGATTAAGTAAAAAAGATTATATCAAATGTTAACAAATATATAATATAAATTTTTTACGTTACTGTAGCTCGTGTGAGTCAAAATATAGCATTGTTTTATAGATAAACTAGGAGTGCCCCGCTATGCTTTGCTGTGGCTCACAATCAGCAACGAATTACTTTATACCACCATCTGTTAGAATCTTATCGAACTAATGGAGATAATCATGACTCTTTGTTAATAAACAAATAATATTGCGATTATAAATTGAGATATAAACTATCCTATCTTTCAAATTGAATGAAACTGTACACAGTGTGCAAAATTTGATTAAAATCGGTTCAGTAGTTTAGGAGTCCATTGCGAACAAACAACGTGACACGTAATTTATATAAATTAATATAAATTATCCTATCTTTCAAATTGAATGAAACTGTATACAGTGTGCAAAATTTTATTAAAATCGGTTCAGTAGTTTAGGAATCCATTGCGGACAAACAACTTGACACGTAATTTATATTTATATTTTATCAAAACGGTCTAGATTGTTACAGCTTATTCAAAAAAAATTGGAAATTTTCGAATTAAACATGTGTTTATTCTGACTGGTTGTGAACCACAGCAACGCATGGCAGGGCACAGCTAGTATATATATATGTACAAACACATATATAGAATAGAAAATCGAATTATCGATCGTTTGGATATATACGAGGTACACGTTTGTGGATTATCAAAAAAATAAAATAAAATAAAATAAAATAAAATAAAATGGTCTCAATAAAATAGTCCAATTGATGATACGTAAAACAACATTAAAAAAAAAAAAAAAAAATAAATAAATAAATAAAATAAAAAGTAAATGGAAATAAAAGGGATTTCTTTTCTATCTCTATTTGTACACCCTTTTAGCTAATTAATGGCGCGTATATATCTGTTCCTTTGATTAGGACTACTAGCTAGAATTTTGCGTTTAATCATCGAGATTCATCATCGAGACTATTACTCTACTAGTCTCTCTCTCTCTCTCTCTCTCTCTCTCTGTCTCTGTCTCTTTCTTTCTTTCTTTCTTTGAAAAAGCTAACTGAGAAGAATGTAAGCTTTTCAAGCACGTTCCCTTTATCTTTACTTTTCTTTCTAAACTGTTCGAGATACACGAGTACGAAGCCGTGCTCTTAATATTTTACTTTTCATACATTATTCCTTATATAAGTCTCTTCTACGAAAGCCAATACGTGGGGGTTTTTTACTCTACAAAGTAAAAAATTAAGATAATTAATGTTGTTGTTTTTTTTTTTTTATAATAGAACCGATTTTAATAAAATTTTGCACAAAGTGTGCAGTTTGATCCAACTTGAAAGATAGGATAGTTTACATTAATATATATAAATTACGTGTCACGTTGTTTGTCCGCAATGGACTCCTTAACTACTGAACTACTTTTAATAAAATTTTGCACAAAGTGTGCAGTTTTATCCAACTTGATAGATAGGATAGTTTATATCTCAATTTATAATCGCAATATTATTTTATCGCGAATTATTTGTTTATTAACAATGAATCATGATTATCTCTGTTAGTTCGATAAGATTCTAACAGATGGCGGTATAAGGTAATTCGTTGACTTAAAGACATGTGTATCGGACTGATTGTGAGTCACAGCAACGCATGGCGGGGCACCCCTAATATATATATATATACAATATTTAAAAATATAATATATATGTGTGTGTATTATTTTTATAAATATGATTGATTAAATATAAAAACTAATTATTTAAAAATTTATTCGTTTAAATTTAAGGTTAGGACAGCGACATTAATTTTTGGTTCACCTAATACACATATATATATATATATATATGTATGTATGTGTGTGTGTATATATACAGTCCTGATATCTCTCTTTCTTTATTTTATTTTCTTTCATTTTTTTTTTTTTTTAAATTTCTCTCATGATAGAACTTTTCAATTCCAGCTTTACCCTTATCCGTATCTCGTTCGTGTCGGCCTGTAAAAATAATTCGAGCGCAATGGAAGATTGCGAGGGAGTAATAAGAGAAGCAGACTCAGTTATAAAATGAATGAGAGAGAAAGAGAGAGAGAGAGAGAGTAGGGAAAGAATAAATCAGAAGAATGAGGGTTAGGGTTGATATGTATTTTTAAAAAGCAATTGAAAGAAAGTCGATGAGAATTGTTGCAATTTGATCGTTCATGAATAATTTCTTTATTACTTTTTCTTTTTTTATATTGTCCTTTATTATTCTCTTTGTTCTTTTTGTTTGTTTGTTCTTTTATTAGGAAAGAAAATGGCGGAAGAGGGTGCAGGAGGTTCGAGCAATAGCAGTACAGGAGAAGCTAGCAGATTGCAGCTTTTACAAGAAATGAGACAACAAAATTTTGACAGTATACGATTCGCTTCTTATCGTACTGCTTGCAAGCTTAGATTTATTCAAAAGAAAGTTCACCGTAAGTATTTAACATTCTTAATATTTATATTATAATCATAATTCATATTTAAATGATTTCAAATGATTAGATTTCAAAAATGATTTCCATTCTAATGATTAGATTTCAAAAATGATTTTAAATGATAAAAAGATAAATGAGATTTGTATTATTTTATATTTGATTCTAGTTAGTAAAATACTAGAGTAGTAGAGTTACTAGAGTACTAGTTATTTAACACTACGAATACTGTATTAAAATAAATTTGTATAATATAAATTGAAAAATTGCAGACAAGACAACAACTTAATCAACAGTTAGTTGCAATTGACTAATATACTCGTCATGTAGAAAAGACAATATTTAATATTATCGTTTCATTATTCTGATATTAATTTAGAGGTACATACTTATGAAAAAAATCACCATAAGTAAATGAATTAAATAGCAAATGGTAATTAATTATTTTTTTTTTTCACATGAAATTGTAATACCAAAAGATATTATCATTTCTTTATGGCGAGTATATTCGTCAATTACTGTTAATGGATTTAATGTTGATTATTTAAAATTGTACTTAATATTAAAATCATATTGTGTTATTTTATTTTTTGTTTCAACTATAGATATATCTTACTTTGGTGTCCCATCATTTACAATTGTACTTGAACATTAAAATCAACTAATTATTATTTTTTTTCTTCTTTCAATTCAAAATACTTTACTTTGATGTTCAACATTTAAATTAAATAACTCAACTATTAAAATCATATTATTTTAATTTATTTTTTGTTTCATTGAACTTGCTATCCTGTACTTAGATATACTCAAGTTATTTTTGCATCAATTTATTGTTATTATTGTTAATTGATTTAATGTTGATTATTTAAAATTGTATTCAACATTAAAATCATATTATTTTATTTTATATCTTTTCTTTCAATTCAATACACTTTACTTTGATGTTCATCATTTGAAATTGTACTCAACATTAATGTTCACCATTTAAAATAGATACTCAA